CTTGCCTCCTTTGTCGAAGATAAGGTGTCCACATGGATTTATCTATGGACTTTGTATTTTGTTCCACTGGTCCATATTTCTGTCTTTGTGCCAGTACCATACTGTCTTGATGACTGTGGCTTTGTAGTAGAGCCTGAAGTCAGGCAGGTTGATTCCTCCAGTTCCATTCTTCTTTCTCAAGATTGCTTTGGCTATTCGAGGACTTTTGTATTTCCATACGAATTGTGAAATTATTTGTTCTAGTTCTGTGAAGAATACCGTTGGTAGCTTGATAGGGATTGCATTGAATCTATAGATTGCTCTGGGTAGTATACTCATTTTCACAATTTTGATTCTTCCAATCCATGAACATGGTGTATTTCTCTATCTATTTGTGTCCTCTTTGCTTTCTTTGATCAGTGTTTTATAGTTTTCTATGTGTAGATCTTTTGTTTCTTTAGGTAGCTATACTCCTAAGTATTAGGCCAGTACTTTTTAAGCTGTGGTTTGCAGTCATCATTTAAGAGAAATGAAATAGAGTGAAGCAACATATTTTTAGCCTTCTAATCATTATATTGTTTGGGATTCTCTTCAGATGAGTAGCTTTCAAACTTTATTGACTGCCACTCAGTAAGGAATACATGTCATTAGGATTTAGTCTGCTCATTAATACAGGTATGACTTCTATTTTATGTCCATACTATGTAATTATTATGTGTAGTATGTGTCATTTGAAAAACTTTTATGATTCATTGAATTGATTTCACAATCTGTTACAACCTGTATGTGACAAATAGTGCTCTAGGCCACATAAGAAATAAGCCTTCTGCAGGCTTATCTCTGGGTTAACAGGCTTGTAGGTGGTATTATTAAACAGTGTGTCTTGTATTTATTGAAAGTGTTACTATGAAAGTTACCTCTGGATTAAGTACTAGATAGCAGTAAAGGCAATATCTTCTGCCTTAGGTTTCTAGTATAGTTGGTTTCATGTAGAATGCATCATGCAAAATGCTGGGGTGTTTGACTCATAAGCTGGAATCAAGATTGCTGGTAGAAATATTAACAACTTCAGATATGCATATGATACCACACTAATTGCAGAAAGCAAAGAGGATGTAAAGAGCCTTTTGATGAAGGTGAAAGAGTAATGAAAAGCTGCTTAAAGCTCAACATTCAAAAAATTTAAGATTATGGCAGGTGTTCCCATCCGTTTGTGGCAAATAGATGGGGAAAAAAATGGAAACAGGACAGTTTATTTTCTTGGGCTCCAGAATCACTGCAGATGTGAAGTCACATGACGGCAGCCGTGAAACTAAAAAATGCATGCTACTTGGAAGAAAAGCTATGAGAAACTTAGACATCATATTAAAAAGCAGAGACCTCACTTTGCTGACAAAGGTCCACATAGTCAAAGCTATGACTTTTCCAGTAGTCATGTACGGATGTGAGAGCTGGACCATAAAGAAGGCTGAATACCATGGAATTGATGCTTTTGACCTGTGGTGCTGGAGAAGACAGACTCTGGAGCGTCCCTTGAACTGCAAGGAGATGAATGTACTCAATCCTAAAGAAAATCAACCTAAATATTCATGTAGGACTGAAGCTGAAGCTCTGGTACTTTGGCCATGTGATGTGAAGAGAGGACTCCTTGGAAAAGACACTGATCCTGGGAAAGATTGAAGGCGGTTGGAGGAGGGGACCATAGAGCATGAGATGGTTGCATGGCATCATCAACTCAGTGGACGTGAGTTTGAGCAAACTCTAGGAGATGATGAATGACAGGGAAGCCTGGTGTGCTGCAGTCCATGGGTTTGCAAAGAGCTGGATATGTCTGAGCATCTGAAGAACAACCAGAGCAGGAAAAGTTCTTCATTCAGTAGATCGATTGTGTCCTTTATATCTTAGAGAGTGACTCATGGCATAGCAGCAGGCGTCCACCAAAACCTTCAGCCTCAGATTAGTTTCATTCTGTTGTATCAAGAATTCAGTATGTGTTTTGCTCTAAGAAAATAGTTTCATGTAGCATAATTTTTACTTCTTGCTTCTTTGAGTGTTTTGCAAAATAATATTTTCATGCTTAAAGATTCTACTTGGAAACAGTGTGTTTTAGAAAATACTGTTAGCATACTTCTGAAGATAACCAGAGGAAGGAGAGGTGGCATTTTGGCAAGTTCCCCTTGTTTAAGTCACTGAGTCGCTCATGAAAATCTTACTGCATTCTGTATTTCATGCCTGACATTCTTAGAGCTAATAGCCTTTTTTCTTTTGATATTCTTTGTGTTGTGATACAGGAATTAATAAACAGTGTTATGAGAGGAACAGAGAATGGGTTCAGCCATACCCATACATGTATCTGTTGTCCCTCAAATTCCCCTCCCATATAGGCTGCTCCAGCATTGAACATTGTTCCATTTGCTATAACAGTTCCTTGTTGGTTATCCATTTTTAGAATATCAGTATATATGACCATGCCAAACTCCCTAACTATCCTTTCCCCTCAGTCATCACACCCCCTCAAGCCCCCACAACATAAGCTTGTTTTTGAAGTCTGAATGTAAGTTTGTCTTGTAAGTTTGTATCATTTCTTTTCAGATTCAACATATAGGACATGTCATATTTTTCCTTCTCTGTCTCACTTCACTCTGTATGATACTAATTCAATTCACATCTCTATAAGTGACTCCATCATTCATTTTTTTATGTCTGAGTAATATTCCATTGCATAGATATACCCCATCTTGTTTATCCATTCCTCTATTGATGGACATACAGATTGTTTACATGTCCTGACTGTGTACATAGTGCTGCAGTGAACAGTTGGGGTGCATGTGTCCCTTTGAATTATGGTTTTCTCTGGATCTGTCTCCGGGAGTGAGATAGCTGGGTCACATGGTCGTTCTGTATTTCATTTTTTACGGAATCTCGACAGTGTCCTCCATAGTGCCTGTATCAATTTTACATCAAAGGTGAGAAATGAGGAAATTGTTCAGAAACCAAGAGTGATAACATATCAAGGGTGGGCGATGCTGTTTAAACTGATTTAGCAGGATGCTTGTTAAAACTGAACTAAACAAGCCCAACAGGGATGGTGGCCAAGCCTGAGACTTGGTTAAGAAGCCTGACTAAGGTTGGATCAAGACGAGTCTGTGGTCTATACAGGACAGCATCTGGGGCAGCATGGAAACTGACAGAGGGAATCGGGGTGGGTCAGCCAGTGACGTATCTTTTGGTAGATTAATGAACTCACTCCTTGAAGGAATAAATTGAAATTCAAGGAAAATCAGCTTCTGTGAAAACTACAGAGAAACTTAACAGAGGACAAGGAAATGTCTTCCTGATTCAAAAAGTCTTCACAGTTTGTACATGAAAATGGGGAGACATCGCACTATGATACATGTACTTTGAATTTTTCAATAAATCCAATCATTTGTTTTACCTACACAGTTGTAGTTTTGCTTGGGAAACAACAGGGTCAAGAGAAATTCAGTTGATCTGAGGTGTGTAAGTGCACACATTTTATCAGTGCAGACATCAGTATGAGGTGCAGGTTGCACACAAATGGTATGGAAAGTCTTCAGGGGGAGAATCTATAGGAAATTCTGATTTATGAAAATTAATGCAGTAAAATATTTTTTCATTTTCATGTTTTTAGTTGCTTCATTGAGACATCCAAAAAGATACTTTAAACATTCTGTTAGCATTTTTTTAAGTGATTTTGGTTTACTCATAGGTCTTGCAGTGTAAATTCGAGTTAGTAGTTACTAATTTCCTAGTCTTAATGTGGTTACCTAGTGGTGGGTCTTCAGCCTTCTTTTACAGTGTTTGGTATGACTCCCAGAAAGTGCCTAAAGTTTAATTTTAGATATGCCTTCCATTGGGTCCTTTACGTTTTCCTTCAAGAGAATTTTTATCCTTAATGAGAAAGAATCAGTTTTTTCAAACTCAATTTAAGCTCTTGTAATTTTTCCTCTAATGCTTGTCTTTTTCATTTTAAGGCCTGAAAACTGTGACCTTCAAAAGAACCAGGATTGCAGCAATTAAGTATCTGACTTTATCCTTAACCACCTGAACTGGTTTGTATGAAATACAGTCGTTTTTATCTGTTGTCAAAATAGTTTCTGGTCGTTAAATCTGACATTTTTAAAGGAAACTTCTTGTTGTGAGTGTAAAGCTAACTGCCCACGAGATCGTGTCCAGTGGTATTTGATTTAAATCAATATGCACTCTGGCTTCTGATTAAAAATAGCTAGGAGGATCAATTTACCAGGGATAGTCACAGAGAAAAATTACAAAGTAAGGAAATGGCAACCCACTCCAGTATTCTTGCCTGGAGAATCCCATGGACAGGGGAACTTCATAGGTTACAGTCCATGGGTTCGTGAGAGTTGGACAGGACTTAGCAACTAAACCACCACTGCCAATCACAGAGAAAAACTACGAAGTATCACATAAAGTAAGTAGGTATTTCCTTTGAACTGTTAGGCCATTAGACTACTTATCAAAATAATAGTGATAGATACAAGGAAATGTCTTCACAAATTCTACAAGATTACTCTCCAATACTCAAATACTCAAATCATTCTTTTGAGCAAATTTTTGTGTCTTTAGTTTAAGAGTCCATTTTTCAGTTTGGTGAGCTGGAATTTGAAAAATAAGCCTTCAGTTTAAGAAATTTGTTGTATGAAATGATTTTAGTCATCTCTGTTGAAAGATGTCTCTTAGTATTCTCCCCTAAAAAAATTTTTTTTTTTTTTTGATACAGTGTTAGAAACTGAACTTGACTTAGTGGACCACTACTCCTAAATACTAATTTTGAACATACTGATCCATGACTTAAATGTTTATTTTTCTTTTAGAGCCAAGATACTAAAAGTAGTGCATTTGGAAAGTTGTCTTTGTTTTTTTATCTGTTTCTTGTTTGATTATCTTCTGTTTTCAAAAACTTCAAATATAAAATGGATCATGAGATTATTGAATGTTTGATCCATCATTTGAATGATAAGAGATGTCTGTTTCCTCTTAGGGTATTTGAGGCTGCTGCTTTGCATGCATGCTCAGTTGTGTCCGACTCTTTGGGGCCCTATGGACTCTTACGTCTATGTGATTTTTCAGGCAAGAGAACTGGAGTGGGTTGCCATTTCCTCCTCTAGCGAATCTTCCATTTATCGGAATCGATCCCAACCCTCCTGCATAACAGGCAAATTCCTTTATTGCTGAGCCTTTCGATTGGCCACATGGGGGTGGTTGCTCAGATGAAAAACATACTGGCATTTATTTTGAATATTTTTTAACATATAGCTTCTGGGAGTTTTGCCAACCACTGATTTTATTCTAGAAGGATATGCAACCACCTCTTCCCAGCTGTATATCCACTTTTCCTTTTTTTTATGACTTAGAAGGAAGTAGCCCTAACCATTAAAAGCTGATTTCTGGATTCTTTAAGATGGAAGTTTTAGGGTAAACTATTTTCATGTTAACTTCATCCATATACAAATGAGTGATGAATCTTACAAGATAAAAATGTCTAATTATGCTATTATTTTTTAACAGGAAAACATTACTTAGGAAATAAAGTAGGGAGAAAAGTTTCATGTAAATAGTTATCTTTAAGCCTTTATGTTTCCTAAGTTTTTAAATTGTCTGTTTCTTTTGATTCCAAAAGCTCCTCTGGTTTGAATGAAGTTCTTATTACCTGCAGTGCATACCAGCCTTTCCTAGGAGACCATTTCCCGGGATGTGAAGTCCTGGTGCCATTAGCTGTCCACATGCAGAAGGTTCTGTGTACCTGCGTTTCTTTTTTCTGTAGTCTGGCTGGTTGTCACTTAACTTTTCAGTTTATTTCACTAAATGATAGAGTCAAAATGATAAAATCTTTGTACCATGGGAAATTATTTCAATTTTATTTTTCTACTGACGTTTCTAATTCTGGTATAAATGTTTATCAATAAAGAATTACTTTCAATTCTGTGAAGTAGGACTGTTTTTTTCTTTTTCAGTGGCCAGTGAATTTAATTTTTTGTAATATGGTTTTCTAACTTTTTAAGCTTTTTATTTTATTTTTTTTTATAACTTAGAGAAGACTCTTGAGAGTGCTTGGAGTGCAAGGAGATCAAACCAGTTAATCCAAAAGGAAATCAACTGTGAATATTCATTGGAAGGACTGTTGCTGAAGTGAAGCTCCAATACTTTGAAAAGATGACTCATTGGAAAAGACTGCGATACTGGGAAGAACTGAAGGCAATAGAAGAATGTGCCGGCAGAGGATGAGATAGTTAGATAGCATCAACTCAGTACACATGAATTTGAGCAAATATCAGGAGATACAGTGGAGGACAGAGGAGCCTGGTGTGCTTCAGTCCATGGGGTCACAAGAAGCTGTAAAATGTTTTTGTATTTCCTTTAGGTTCCACCTACTAGTTTATAGTAAAATTCTCATCCAAAGATCTGATTAAACACTGCTTACATCTTGAGTCTTATTAATTCAGCTTTCAGGACTATATGTTAACATCAAAAGTTTTTGTATTTCACACTGGGATAGCAGAAAACTGGTAACAGTTTGTGAAGAAAAAAAAAGTATTGTTTCAGTAGTAGGTCCACATGAGGAGAGGCTCTAAGGTTGGCTCAGTATTCTGTGACATCATAAATCTTTTTCCTGCTCTGCCACTTTCAGCAAATTGGATGGTCCAATTTGGTTGCTTATCCCATGGTTACAAGGAAACAGCTTCAGTTCCAGACAGTGCAGATAGACAGTGTCTGGCAGGATACTACGCTTTCATTCTCTGGTTTCTTTTCTTGTTTTAGGTATCCTGTAAAGTGCACAAATCTTAAATTTATAGCTTGATGAAATTTTACTCATGTGAAGTGGTAGCACTTTGATCAAGGTACAGAATGTCTCTAGCACCCCAGTAGGATGCAGAGTTCAGCCAGAAGCCTCAATATCATGTTTCCCAACAGGATCTTTTTGTTTCTAAAAAGATGATGACCCAAGATTGGACAGGTGTATGGTGGATGAGATGGTAAAGATGTTGAGTTTGGTAGGAAGGGCTCCATAAACTGTTGCCAAGACAACAGGGTAATAGTGAACCAGGAAACCTGTAGGGGGTTGGGATTTGTATTTTTCCCACCTGGAGACATTTGTCTAAAGGGATTCCTCAGTTTTGGCCTATTTCTGCTTGGTGGGATTATGTGCCCTGTGTTGGCAGATTCTCTGGTTTCTAAAAGGAAGTTGGAAATCTAGATTATTGGAAAACACTCATCTTTTAAGTGCTTATATATTGAGTATTCCCCAAAACACAAGGAACAGTAGGAACCAATTCCAGTCTATAAGGCCACCACACATACTCAATTAGTGGAAATACAGGGTTGGGTACCTGTGGGACTCCGGACTTACTTTGTCAACTGATCAGTACATAATCTTGTTTTATGTGTGTTTCTGTTCGAAGATATTGTATTTAATGATCTTTGTAACAAATAATGATATGCAGTATATGCATGCATTCTAAGTCGCTTCATTTGTGTCCGACTCTTTGTAACCCTGTAGGCTGTAGCCTGCCAGCATCTTCTGCCCATGGGATTTGCCAGGCAAGAATACTGGAGTGGGTTGCCATTTCCTCCTCCATGAGGATCTTCCCAACCCAGGAATCAAATCCATGTTTCTTGTGTCTCCTGCATTGGCAGGCAGACTCTTAACTACTAGCGCCACCTGGGAAGCCTCATGCTATATGTATAATGAAACAGTTGTTTGAATGACAGCAATGTTATGTACAACTGAGATTGTACTACTTTCTTTCCCTCAGTTTTACACACACAAACTACAAACATACACTACACAGAAAAGTACTCACTGTAAACATAAGTATTCATATAGAGACATAGTATAGTCTGTACGGTAATGCAGGTAAAGTCTTGGAAAGGGAAAGATTGAGCATTTAACATTTCATAAAGCATTACCTAACATTTTCCTGTTGATGGAGCTGCAGGCTGCATGATGATACAACGCACAGTGTGGGCAAACGTTTCGACCTTGGCTTACCCCACCAAAACCAAGGGAGAGGTTGGTGGAACTCATTCTGCAGATGATGGAGAGAGAGGGAGTTTTACATCTATCAGTTCACCCTCAGAGGTTTGGTTCTCACTATTTATTGAGTGGAGAAATAGCTCTAGAAAGAGTGTGGGTGAAAGCGGAAATGTCACTCAGTTGCAGATGTGTCTGGTGGTAAAAGTAAAGTGATGCTATAAAGAACAATATTGCATATATACCTTGAATGTTAGATCCTTGAATCAAGGTAAATTGGACATGGTCAAGCAGGTATGACAAGGTTAAAGACTGATAGTTTTAGGAATTAGTGAACAAAAATGGACAGAAATGGGAGAATTCAGATGACCATTATGTTTACTATGGGTAGATATCCCTTAGAGGAAATGGAGTAGCCCTCATAGTCAACAAGAGTCGGAAATGCAGTACTCGGGTGAAATCTCAAAAAACAACAGAATGAGCTGTTTATTTCAAGGGAAACCAGTCAGCTTCACAGTAATCCAAGTCTACACCCCAACCACTAATGCCGAAGAAGCTGAATGACTATGAAGACCTACAAGACCTGGAACTAACACCAAAAAGTCCTTTTCATCATAGGGGATTGGAGTGCAAAAGTTGAGAGAACCTGGAGTACACAGGCAAATTTGGCCTTGGAGTACAAATGAAGCAGGGCAAAGGCTAACAGCAAGAGGAGAAAGGGGCGACAGACATGGTTGAATGGCATCACTGGCAGTGAACGGGAGTGAGCAAACTCCAGGAGATATTCAAGGACAGGGAAGCCTGGCATGTTGCATCAGTAGGTGGAACTGATTCTGCAGATGAGGAAGAGGTTGACAGGCTGACATATGTTTGTTCAACCTCAGAGGTTTGGCTCTCACTTGTTGATGTAGTTGGCACTTTCCCCTCCTGAAGTAGCTCTAGAAACTGGGCGGGTCCTGTCTGCATGGCTTTTTGCCTCACATCTTTAAGCATCTCATAAGGGGCAAACACACCAGAAGTTAATGATTTAAATTTGAGGCTTCAATCAAGGATAGGGTTACACCCTTCCATGTCACTGAAAATTTGTTTCAAGGCAGAGTTCCATTCTGTTATTTTGGCTGCTGTTAGAGGGACAATTCCTGGACTCCTCTGCTGACTATCATCACTGTCTATTGCTTTCTCTGCCAAAATTTCCTCCACATCCTTCTTCATGTCACCAAAGCCTTCACTTAGTTGCTGTGGAGCATGCATTATGTTTTTAACTGTTCTTTATTCTTTCTGCAGCACCTTCAAAGCCTTCAAAATTTTCCACACAGCCTGGCCAAACATTTTTCCAACAGTTACAGGCTCTGCTTGATGTCCCAGGCTGTGCCAACATAATCACATTGGGTATAGTGACTGACTTCCAATAGTTTGTCCATCATGGTAGTTTCTTTGTTGACTTTGAGAGCCTCGAAAGCCTTGTTACAAAGCTCCCCTGTATACTGTGCCTTGAAGACATTTATTATGCCCTGATCCAGGGGCTGGATGAGAGACTTAGTATTTGGGGGCGTGAAAAGAACTCCTACATAGGGGTCAGCATTTTTTAGTTCTTCACAGCAGTGGACTGGGGCGTTATCCAAAATTTAACAAAATCTTGAAGGCAAAGTTTCTGCCCTAGAGATAGTATTCAACTTTTGGTATGAAACAGCTGTGGAAACCAAACAGATGTCTTCCAACATTTGTTCCACCTCCACTTTTCTGGTTAAGGTTAAGTGCTTGTGAACTTGAAGCTCTACACCAGTAGGGGTTTGCACTTGAAGTTGCCCTTGTACTCCATGTCCAGAGAAGCTGCAACCAGACGGTAGGGATTATGCAATCATGATAAAATCAGATTCCACACCCGCCAGGTGAGTGACCCAGAAACTGGAGAACAGTAATACCAAAAACGTTCTCCCACTATTGTGAAGGTTCTGAGCCCCACAGCAGGCTTCCCAGAGTGGGGATTCGGCCAAGGGACTGGGTATCCCCAGGGAATCTGACTTGAAAGCGACCTGGATTTGATTACAGAACTTAAGTATAAATTGTAGTTGTCTTAAATGTAAATAGGTTAAATAACCAAAAAATAGAGAGTGGATGGTTGGATGAAAACGTGCATGTGAACCTCCACTTAACATCACTACTAAAACCCCCAAATTGTATGGAATTATTTTATATTGTTATGTTAATTGTTTCCATTATGGCTTGAAATTCTAAGTATCCTTTTTTGTATGGTGATTGATTTTGAAAACTGAAAAACAGCTTTTACTATTGTGATTATGTAACTAATTTGCTTCATACCATTGTATTGTGATTGGTCAACAGAAAATAATAGAATTCTTTATCACTGAAACTACCATTTGACAGAGAAACATGAAATCACTTTTTAAAATCCAGAATTATCTTGGAATTTTTTGAAAAACAGAAATGCCCAGGTACTGCTTTTTGTCTCCAAAGCTTCAGATGTGTTTCTAATGAGCAGACATGTTTAAAATTAACAACTGGATTATATATGATATTTTACTTTTATGTAGTTTATTTCACATTTTCTATTTCATATTCGGTGCACCCATTTCATTTTGTTTATGGTTCCCAATTTCTCCATCTCTTTTGTTGCTGTTCTCTCTCAAAGTTTATGAAGCATAGTAGAAAAGCTTTTATATACATATATAAATAGTATGTATAACATATTTTAGAAAACAAAGAATTTTTGCATAGCTAAAAGTCTATCACATTTTGATTCCACTTGTTTTTCTTAGTATGAATAGAATGCTAGATTTCTAATTTACATTAAGTTAAAACTTTGATATAGTTCCATGTATTTTGGCATCTAGTATTACTGCTAACAGTCTAGAAAGTTTATTATCTTGGTGATTTAAAAAAAATTGAGTGAGGCTTGAAACTTACAAGAAACAGTATGTATTTTTTTTTTTTAAAAA